ATCATTTTCTTTCTTTAACTTTTTACCATCACAGTTGCACATCTGGGCAGCAGTGCTTTCTTCTTTAATTTAAATGTGCTGCTTTTTTATATATCTTGTTTGAGTTGTGAAGTTTGAATTGTGCATCTAATTCACTCTGAACACAGGAAAACATTGTTTAAGTCAAAGATTATTTCTGGGGGGAGAAAAGTAAACATAAGAAAGAACGTGGCAGGTTTGTGTCAGCTTTGGCTTTTGAGGGTTTTGACTTTGTAGTACCCAACACTTACGTTACATACAAAGTTAATGTAACCGAGATTCTTTTGGTTACTTTTTGTGTAAAGGAATAGAAATAAGTGAAAGATTTAACCCCAGGAAAAATCATAATATGAAGTGTTTGAAGAATTATGCTGGGGACTTTTAACTTCCTTTTGTCACTTTTGTTAAAAAAATACACCCTAAATTGATATTCAAAAATAATACATACAACCCACTGTCGCATGATGTTTTTAATAATGAAGTTTATCTGACTGTACTTTTCCTCTTCCTTTCACTATCTTGGTCTTTTTTTTTCTTTTCTTTTCCTGAATCTTTCTGGTCCTCTCTCTTATACATCTTTGTCTGGTGGAATAAATCAAAACATATTGTTATATTTTTATTCCTATCATCAACATCATTATTAATGTTTTCAGTCAAATAACATTATATATGCTTGCAAATCATAAAGAATTTACTTGGGCTAGATTACAATTAAAAGCCATATAATATTAAAAGAGCTCTTATACAACTATATAAGATATACAGATTTTAGGGATGTAATTTTGTTCCACTTTGAAAATAAATTTTTTAAATGTACAGCCACATATTGTATTTTGTATGTTAATGAAAATGATTCAACAAACATTGAATGTGAAAGATTAAATATTATGCTTTTTAAAAAAATGTTACTTGCTTAATCGTTGGCTGTACTGTAGCTGGCATGCTACATTTGAGGGCTGTCTACGTGTGTTTTTTAAAATGTCATCTTTATTAGTATTACATTCAAGGAATAGTACCAAGAATCAGTTTCTTTCAAGACCTTCCTCCAGTGTGTGGCATATAAGCTGAGACGAGCGACATTACAGAAGGTCATGTCACTTTTAACTGCTTGCATTACATCTTTCTGATTTCCCTAGTGCCCTTCCTTTGTTTGATTAATACTACTTGCTTTCAAGCAAGGTATCAGAAAGCATAATTTGGAAAGAGAATTCTAGAGCCTATCTGAGATATTTTCCCTCAAAAAAAAAAAAAAAGAGAAAAGAAAAAGGAAAAAGCCCAATTTGGTAAATGTATCTTTTCTAACACATGCATTTTTCGTCACTCTTTTCATTTTTTTTTCCCCTCAAGGAAATCCTACATATTCAAGTTTTGCTGACAAATGTTTGGTCAACTGGACTTTTTGTATACATGAAAACAAAACTCTGTAGTGCTTGTTTGGTTTTATTTGAAGAAGAAAGATCTGGAATTTGAGACTAGGATTCCTTTTTTTATTTGTTTTCCTTAGTTAAGTGTTAAACTCCAGCACTCTTTCTAAATAGCAGGTGTTACTTGAGTTCTCTGGGAAAGGTTGCAATTTTGTGCAGTCATTAAATGCACTTCAGTGATACATACAGTTTGTTTTTAAAAGCTCAGTTTGCAGTTTCTGTATTCATTGCATTTGTCCAGGGATCAGGTTATAAAGCATAGTTCCGCTTCTGAGACACTCTTGCCCTCAAAGCCATTCATTTCACTGGACCACTAAAGCCTGAAGATTAGCTGTGAAAGCATCATCATTGTAATTTTGAATCTTTATCCACACCTCTGCCTGTGCCCCTTTATGTGTTTCTTAGTATCAGTGAAAACATAAATCAGAATTCTGTGTATTATTAAGAACACTGAATATTTTTCCAAGAAAAAAATAATTTCTAAAAATTAATGTTTAAAATATTAAGTTGATGCTGTTATTTTTATTAATAACATTTTTGAGTACTTTGATACAGGAACTGTGCTAAGCACTGTATATACATTATCTTATTGGATCCTTAATCAACACTGTGGGACAGGTGCTATCATTATCTCTATTTTCCAAGGTACCTTAAACTTCACCTGAGCAAATTGTAGTAGTGCGATACATTCCGAAGTTGCTTAAAGGCATCAGCAGGAAACCATCTGTATTGTAAATCCTCACTTGTAGATGTTTATGATGTAACGTTTAAAAGGCACTGAAGGAGGGGAAGAGCCCTCACCAGAGCACTAAAACCCAACACAAAGGCCTCTCACTAACACAACACTCTTCTGCCAAATTTAAAGGCAAATGGTTGTATTGGGTGGTTCTGGCTGCACATTTGTGGAGCAATTGTGCATAGTCAGTTACCCTCCTGTGCAGGGGAGGAACATTTTGGGTTGTGCAAAATGAAGAGCCTGATTCTGTGGGCCTTCTTTGAGTCATCCTTATACATAAGATCCACAGCTGGTTTCTAAAACGTGTAAAATTAAGCTGTTTGGTTTGTTTCATGATTCAGTAACATTTTGAATTTTTGAAAATGGTGGAGATCTCAAATCTAAAGGTTAGATATTAATTTTTTCTTTAATATTCAGGCAAACATTTGAGAGCATTTTGAATATTTTATTTTGCTAGTCTGCATCATATATTAGGTAGAAGTGTTTCCAGGTGAGCTAGTTCAGTTCTATGAGATAAATGATAGGCACTTTACCAAAAAGCATGTTCAGTAGATGAATGAATTATCTTTTCACTCAATCAACAAACATTTCTCGAATAGCCATGATGTGCCTTGCAGTCTGCTAGGCACAGACACCATTCTGCCTTCATAAATCCTGCAGTATGGTGGTAAGTACTGCAGAGGGGAGGTATGTAATACATTCTTAATAACAGCTAGCTAAAACATGGTTTGAGTTTATCCACAGGAGTACAAGTAGAATATTCATTTCATATTCCACTAGCTATTTGATATATGACTCTGCATGGGTAATTTTAACAAACAAACAAAAAAACCTTAGTTTAATTCTAAAATTTAAAAGATCATTTTATTAGAGGGACAAAATAATAATCATAAAAAAAATCGTGTGAGGGTAAAGTGAGTTCTTACCGTGCAACACAGTTTTCTGAAACATTGTGGCTCCCTTTCTCTTTTTTAAAGTTCAGTCACAAGTAGCTCAACTTGGAATAGCCTGGCATATATTACCTGAATTGTCACTATTCTTCTCTGTACATTTGTGATGTGACTACTTCAAATTTGAGGAAATTAAAAGTTAACTTGAAAAGTTATCTGATAATCCCCATTTAAACTCTACTGGATTGTAAACCTCTTGAGGGCTAGTGTGTGTAAAGATAAGGTACCTATGTGTTATTCATCTTTGTATTGCCACAGTACCTAGCACTGTGTGCCTTGGGCAAGGGGATTTATAACAAATGCTTGTGGAATGGTTCAATATAGTTAGAGAGAATGTCAAGTGTTCTTCATTCTTGCTAAGACTGAATTGCTTTGTATGTCCCCAAAGTAAGTGTAGGCTCTCACAAGATATTGGATACAGCACATTGTTATACTCTGGTTCTTCTGAAAGGTGGAATATCCAAATGAAAGACCACAAAGTTCTACCATTTAATACAAGATTTAAAGTGTGACATTAAATTAGGAACAATCTCACAGGATGTCGGATGCTTTTGGTTACATATTTGTTCTGATACCTGGAAATGTTATTTTTAAAATCAGCAAATGCTTTTAGAATGTTTGGGAGTAATTATTAGGAATAACTGAGAATCCTAACATGTTTTCTCAGCTTATGTAACTCTTTGAATAGTACAGTCTTAATTATTGAAGTTTTCATTCATAGCAAATTGCTGTCTATGTCATAAAGTCACATGAAAGAAGGGCTGGGTGTCTCTATGTCCTAAAATTATAGGCTTTGGTAGAAAACATTTAAAATGTTTGATAACCGTCATTCTATTGATTCTATCCAGAGATAAGAGACTAGATTTTTTTTTAAAAGGCATCACAAGAATTTTAAAATGATACTAAATGGCATGTATATAACCATAAATTGGCATTCACCTGAATTACAGCCCCTCCCAAAAGTTTTTCAAGTTTTTGTTTCCATGGAATGTGTATGCGTGTGTGTGTACAGGTGTGTAAAATCATAAGGAAGCAACTAAAATGAGGTGAGGTCCCATTCTTAATGCTTGCAGTTATATATTGATTGAGGCAAGAGGAAATTATTTGGCAAATCCAAAATGACTATTCCATTCTGCTGAAGTAGCCAGACTAGGAGCCATTAAATAAAATACACACATGCATATCCATCTACAGAGGTTATAAACACACATTATACATACTTGAGTATAGGATATGTTTTTAATTTTCTTTTAATAATAATGCCCATTATCATAATATAATCCTTGTATAAAATTACAGAGAGTTAAAATTAAAGTTTCAGATAATCTACAGAATCAAACCAAAAAGAATTACAGAGATGGTCAAGAGCTGACTTTTATACACAGGAATTAGATTTGAGCCAAAAAAGATATTGTTGATCTTATGCCATAGATCACGAGCATGAACCAACTGAAAGATATAATTTTTTATCTTGGAGTTTGGAGAAAAGTAAATTAGAAATAGCAGAGCTGTTTTATGCTTAGTTATCTAGATCTAAAGTGCCAGAAGAATATAGACAGCAGAATAGGTAGGAAAGAAATTTCCTGGTTTAAAGCATCCACCAAATTAATGTTAGTTTACCTTATTCATATTTCAGATTCTTTGTCGCAGAGCTTTTCATACAAATAGAGTTTCCCTGACTAGATTTCAGTTCCCTGTGTTTTGATCAATTAAGGCATAGCATTTTCCTAATCCCTATCTCTAGATCAAATGGTCTCTCTCCCTGCATCTGTTTCAAATGTTAATAAAGTTTTCATTTCCAAAAGGTTCAAAATGACAGAACAAAATTTTCTCCTTTAAGATTATGACAACGACTTCTGTTTCTGTCTGCAGGTAGTAGAGGACATGCTAGAGGACGAGGAAGAAGAAGATGACAAAGATGACAAGGTAATTATCTTTCCCAGCACTTGGGTACCTGGGGATGGGGAAATGTAGACATGACACTATTTTCACAGACAGTTAAAAAGGAGTTGAAGTGTTTGAGTCCAGAAAATTGGACAGTGCTGTTTATCATCCTAACAATGCCACTGCATGTTGCAAAGAGGGAGAGAAGGCTATAAATCCTCTTCGTTTTTGTCCAGAGCTGGGTCAAATATTTTTCTGCCAGAACAAAAAAAAATAATTCAGCTTGTCTGGAACTTGATAGCTCTCGTGAAGATAACGGCAGTGACAACTGTTTCTGAAGGGCAAAAATTTGTCCCATCTTGAGTATTACAAATTGGGCTACACTTTGCGGGGAGACGGAGGTGAAAGAATAGCAGCAGCCTGCATGAGTTTGAACATGGATATTGTCATCTGTAATTTCAAAAAATTGCTCAGCAAAAAGAAACGTATATGTGGAGTGCGCCAGAAGAATTTAAATAATTCCAGTGCTCACAGTCATTGCCTAGCTTTGGAATGGCCCTGTGGCTCCTAGGTCTGGAAAGCTCATTCAGAGAGGCTCATATTTCGATTGCTGGTTGGCTTGGGGATGGTGACCACAGTAAATAACAGCTGGTTTCTAAGACTACTTGGATTGGTTGTCCCCTGGGAAGAGGGGACACCGGAGGAAGGAAATTAGAATGACCTTGCAGCACTGTAGCAATGGCTGGGGTTGGAAAGACAGCTTTCTATGGCAGGAGGATGGTGATGCTGCCTTATCATCTCTCTGGGCATTTCTAGAGAAAAAATATAAAAAGTCCCAGAGTGGGACTGGGAAGAGGGAGAGAGAATAGCATTAATTATTTCCACATTGTTCAGCGTATAAAGCCAGATTTTGACCTTCACCAGAATCTATCTGACTTCTGTTGTAGTAAAGCAATGAAATTTTTTGAAGAAAGGAGAAAAATAGTGTATCTTAATTTATGCCCTTGACCTTTGATTCCAGTAGAGACGTACAGTTATACCTCAATGTAAGAATTCATGTGAGGGAAGCATTAGAAATGTCTAAAAAAACTCATAGTGATTAGTTAACCTCCCAAATGATTTTTTTCCTGACTGATATTCAGTGCTTGAAGGAAAATGGAAACATAGACACACACGCACACACTCCTTCCTTCTAATGCTATTTCAAACATTTGTAAATTGAGAGAGCTTTTACGTGAAATTTTTCTTCTGTACATCAGTCGTTAGCGACATCATCAAACAAACCAACAAAATCTTCTTCCTGCAAAAACACATATGTGCTTGTTTTTAATGTTAAATAACATGAGCATACACTTCTGGCAATAAATGATATGATTTATTGTTAAGGTCAGTTGTAGAGCTATAGAGAGCTTGTATTTTAACTCAACATGCCAGCTCTGAATCATCATTCCTCTGCTGATAAACACTGAGCTGCCATCCATTTATGGCCATTTTCCCTTGCTTGTTGCTGCTTTATTATTAAAGCCACCATAAAGATCATCCCAGCAGCAGGCATTTCCCCAGAAATGTGAATAAATGGAAACCCTTAGTGAAGTCTAGTACTTCAATGTCCCTGCTTGAAGTCAACCTATATATTTTTTTTACCAGTTTGTTGATATTCTGTACCACTAACCTCTCCTTTGGATGGTCATTTTTTAATAGAGAGGATGTTGGGAGTGGGAAACAAACCGACATGCCTTGTTAACCATCTCACCAAACCATAGATGTCAAGTGGAACATGCCAGGGTGGGACAACACCAACTCTCTGGAGTGGAATCTATTCTAATCTAGTGTTTGGTTGTCTGAACTCAACACCCTGGTTCTAACACATTTTCAGATCTACTTACCAAAATTGATTGAAACTGAGCCCTTAAATTACTGTGTGAATTTGAGTCTATTCTTCTGTACCAGATGCTTACACACAGTATATTTTCTATATGAAAGGATTGGGGGCTGATTTTCATAAATCCAACCTTTTATTTGAGCAATATATAAGGAGGGTATTTTTATTCCTAATGCGATTGATGGCATAAAAATCACATCTGAACAAAAAATAAATGGCAAATGTAATAACTTACAATAGACTTTTAAGCACTTGCATAATAGAGGAGAGAATCTTAGAGTGGACATCTTGAAATATAAAGTTTTTATTATAAGAAATGGAAGTATAAGAGGATCCTTCAAGTTTCCATTTACCAGCTTCTGTCTCTTACCCAGCTCTCACAGCGGTAAATGTTGTAAGTCTTGACTATCAATGTGTCTGAGTGGGAGAAGGGTAATTTCCTACTTTAAAAAATTCATTGGTTCCTCTATTTAAAGTTTGTGTATAGAGTCATGCATAGTGGAATTTCACGAGAAAAGAAATGTGTTTTTTGCCATACGAGCAGGTACTGACCTCTAGCTCTCATTATTTCTCTGTTTTCTCATATGGTATAATAGAGGGGTCAGGTCAGTGGGTCCTCTTATAGGATAAAAGTAAAAAAGATTAATAAATGTGCCAAAGACTCACTTTAATTGAACCTGAAGCATATGTTGCAAGTATGTAAAATATGTCCCAGATGTTTCACCAGGGTTAGTGTCTTGGCTTTCCCTGATTACCACAAGGCAGAGCTATTAGTCCTCTAACCTTTGGACTTGGGGGTAAATGGGGTATTACGTGGCACAGAATGAGAGCACCTGTTTTCCATTCAGCAGAGACCCCTGGCAGGCTTTGCGTAAGCTCATCCATGTGTTTTCACTTAGCAGATTGTTGGGCGATTATGAAAAGTGTCTTTCTTTAGAGCCAGCATTGATATTAGTCACTCACAATGAAAGGGCGAGTGCTTGCCTACTTGACAAGGTCCGTGTGGGCATAAAGCGAAGTCGTTTATTTCATTTGAGCTTGGAGTGTTTTCTCTCAGCATAATTATGTAATGGCAAAGTCACTGGTATAAGAAGGTGAAGCAGATAAAGCTTATAATTAGTTAAAATACTAGTTTTGTGATAGCTTTCCATTACTACTGACTTTAGCACCTAGAAAGACTTTGGTTAAAGTTGGTGAAAGGTAAGTCATGGATGGGTTTTTACCTGGGACCCCAGATCTTGCAGTTTTTCAGATTATGGTCTTTTAAGTATTTTTGCTGTTGAGTTCTTTTTTATTAAAGCTACTAATCATTATTCAGTTGAGGGTTTGTGATCTTCAGAGTTATCCTTCATTCTAGAATCCATTGTCCACATTTGCTTAAATCTAAAATTAGGTGGCTTCTCTCTTCATCCAATTCTGTGGTTTTCACAAAGGCAGAGAATATGGGTTTTAAATGGTGAGTCTTAGTTATGAATCACTGACTTGTTAATATTTTCACTTGTCTGCATTACATAGCAGCAGTATGTTAAACTGTCCTGGAGGTGACATTTTTCCTGAATTAAACGTTAAAAAGACCTCATACTGTGTTCTCAGTTCCGTTTGTTGTAGAACATTCTCTCAATCATCAACCACAAAGCCACAGTTATGATCTGATTTTTGATCTGACACCAAATCTGGCCTATGTGGTTAATAGCAAATACGGCTTAGCTAAATTACCTTGGTGGAGCTATCAATAAGCCACATAATAGTGTTTTTCACCGTGTTATATATAATAATACAGTGGTCAATCTGCATAATCTAGACATCTAATTCATGAAGATCAGCTTTCGTTTTGTAGCTTAAAAAGTTTAGGCATGCTTCCCATGGTGCTTCCTACCCTTGTAATAAGATCCAGCTGCAATAGCAGGAAGCAGAAGATAGAATGCAGGCTTTCCTCAGGAAAAGCAGGGATTCAAATGCATGGCATTCTAGCAATGTTTATTGATAAAAGATATTAAAATGTTCAGGCATTTATGCTTACACTGCTTCTCCTTTTTCTTCAACCATTATTGCAAGGTTACTTTGTTTCAAGATAACTAGATGCTATTGAATGAAACATATCAGAGTTACTTCAAAATACACAGATTGTTTGCTTTAATTCTTGATATCTGTGTTTTGTGGTTTGATCTTCAAGCCCTATGTATATAATATAGCCAAGATACATATGTCTCAAGTCATCTGTGAGGTGGAGGAAAGAGATAACTCCGATACGCGGTATGAGAGAAGATCCTAATCTAATGAAATGGCTTTTTCCAGTTATATTCAATGAAAAAATACCTGCATGATAGGGAAACAGATGAAGGCTTTGAAGAAAGGGAAGGAGAGAGGATACAAGGAAAAACATATATTAAAAACAAAAATTCCTAAATCACATTTAACTGGAATACCATTATATTCGTTTATTAGTTTTCTATTGCATAACAAATTATCACAAATTTAGAATCTCAAAATAACACCCATTTATTAGCTCTCAGTTCAATAGGCCATAAGTCTGATGTTGCTCAACTGGGTTCTTTGCTCAGAATCTCACACTCAGGCTGTCAGTCAGGCTGAGTTCTCACCTGGAGGCTCTGAGAAGAATCCACTTCCAAGTCCATGATTCAGGTTGTTAGCAAAATTCATTTCTTTGTGGTTATAGGACTGAAGTCCTTGTTCTCTTGCTTTCTGACACCTCTTAGCAGCCATCTTCAAGTACTTTTCACATAGCCTCCTCTATCTTTAAATTAATCAGTGGAGAATCTCCCTTTTAGTGAATCCCGCTTACTGTTCAAATCTCTTTCTTCAGCATAACCCAGTCCCTTTAAGGACTTGCCAGATTAGTTCAGGCCCACCCAAGATAATCTCCCTTTCTTAAAGTCAACTGTGCCATGTAATATAACCTAATCATGGAAGTGAGTAGCATCATATTCATAAATCCCACACACACATAAGAAGAGGGGATTAGACAGGACCTGTACACCAAGAGTGGACATTTTGGCAGGCCTCTTAGAATTCTGCCTACCAAAACTGTCTAGACCTGCTTGTGCTCAAGAGAAAAAAATGTAACAACTTTTGTGTTCCTTTTGCATATCTATTGCCAGACTGTAACCCAGCTAACCTACAGTAAGCAAATTAGGAAAGT